TCATGTTTTTGTCTACTGTATTACAAAGCTCTGTACATCAAAGAGAACTAAATGGATGCAAGTGAATAACTAAAGCTTCCTCCTAATACTACCATTCTTTCAAAGCAATAATCTTACATCAGAAAGTAAGATAGCTCAAAATCTAGTTCCAGTTAAACAAATAAGAATGAAATGCAGAGTATATATAAGCAAGTTACTTAAGGTAACTTGCAAGAGATGGAAAATAGGGTTTATGCATTTTTTTTCCTCTTCTTTATGATGCATTTAAAGAAATATTTTCTTCCATCTTCTCTACACTATAAAAAGGAAAACAAAGTAAAATCCTTTAGACATTCATTCAAAATTTTGCACACACTAAAAATGCACTAAACGTCCTACACATGCTATAAACAACACATCTTAACAGAATTTATGGAGGTTTGATAGTGAAATTTTATCACCAGGACAGTCTGTAGATCAGCTAGATTCATATGGATACAGACAAGCTAGAAGACCTCAGACAATCCTCTCAGCATTATAATCAAAGGTAGTTAAGTATTTAGAGTACTTAAAAGTCATTATTTCAGACTGTGATAGCGATTAAAATGTATTAGTTGAGCTCCAAATATGCAAGGAGATGCACCTTTTACCCTAAAGTTGCCGAAGAAAGCCAGAACCTCACCGCAAACCCCCCATAGTCTTACACTACTGTGTTATATTACTGCCACCTAATAGCCAGCTACTAATGCTGACTAACAGCACTTGGCATACAACACCCAAAAAACCTAGCGAACAAAAACTCCTTTCCACACAGTATTGTTTTCATTTCAATGTGAAATGAAACAGTTTGGAAGAAGAGGTACAACAGTAGGAACATTATAAACATTTTAAGTTATTTAACAGAACAACAACCAATCGAGAAACACCTGACAGTTTCTTTTTTTATTACATTCTCTAACATTAATGTATGTAAATTAAATGGTACTTTAAATAAGACTAAGAACCGACTAAAGCAAGTGTAGCCTTTTGCCTCTGAAAAACTGTGAAGAATCTCCTTTTTGAAAATTAAAAAATAAGCCTACCAAGCCTTGGTCTTGGCCTGAAGACCATCTCTAATCCTTTTACTTCTAATGCACAGTTATCCTGTAGCAACGACCCCCACGGAACAGATAAAGAAATTGACTGGATAAATCCATCTGTGACTTCCAGAGGTGCATCTGCAGACTCCAGGATCTCATTAAGACACTAGAAGAGAATAAAATAATAATTAAAAAAAAATCACATCCATAATTTTGAGTATAACAAATAAAACATACTGAGGCTACCAGAAAATGAATTGTACTCAGAAAGACAATAAACTGGCCATTTTCAAGTATTTTGATTCCATCACAATTTGTTTCACATTAATTATTTAGCTTTCAGCATAATACAGATTTGTCTGTGGTAGCTGTATAACCTGTATTTTTTCACTATACCAAAAAACTCTGCCATCTTACTGTTATAAATACTACAATACTGACACAAGGTAATCTATTCTTTCTCTAGCAAGACCTGAAGAAAGCTGAAAACAGGATGACAGTAAAAACGCAAGTACTACCTGGTTTCTTGGCAAGAGTATTTCACTAGAATGTAATTTCAATGTAATGTTCATTTTACCTTTCTCTGTGACACTGGACCAATGGAACCAAATAATCACCTCTTGCTGTATAACATACTTGCCATTTCTAAATCATATTTTGATGTGTTCAATGTTCAGCACTAATTTAAAAATCAAAGCTCAGAGGACAAACCAATATTCTACAGAAACCATTCCATTAATTCAGTCATTTATAGTGACATTATAAACAAAACTACAATCAAGTTGCCCTCAGTATCATACGGAGTAAGTGAAATTGATGAGAAAAATGGAACACTGGCTCTGAAGAAGTAACTTAGGATATTCAAGTTTTCCACAATCCTCAGAAAAGACTCACTTTTTGCACCATATAGCCTTTGTTACATCCACACAGAGCCAAAGAGCCTATTTCCAAAGCAAATATATTCTTTGTATTTATGTTTGGAGAAAAAAAAAAAAAAGAAGCAAATCCCTGTTTGTGCCCTGATTCAAAAATTTAGTTAAAACTGAAATTATTGAACAATAACTATCTAGGCTGCTTTAATAAAACAAAAAACAATCTAAATCACATACCAAATTCGGTGAGTGCAACTTTCTAATCTATACAAGACCCTACTAAAGACTGTGGTTGTAATATTAGGACATAATCTTCAACTGGCAAAAAAAGTGTGGTTTTGACCTTCCTGTGTTGAACAGGGCCACTGTTTTTACCTGAGAAAATGCATAAATTCAACACCGAAAGTTTTTTAAAACTAAGCATTTAAAAGCTGCTTTCCATTTTAATTATATTTAAAATGTTTTTCTAATTATATAGAATAATCTAAAAATAGAAATGAACAAAAAAGTCTTCAGAAAAATGACATTTTTCATTCTTATGTCTCCAGGTGCAATTTTCCCATCACATTAACTTGTTCCTCTGCTTATGCTCTTAGTAACTTTGCTTTTAGAATTTTGTTTGCTTGCATGTTTGGCTTTTCTAGTTTCTGTTCCAAAGTCCACTCAAGCAACAGAAAAAGACACCAACTTTAAAGAAACAGAACATGAAATAGTTCTATTGGGAAATTATTTAAGAATCACATAATCAACCAAGATTCAGTGACATTAAAACTTTATTTTTAATTAAATATAAGAATTACAGATGTGGTAATAGCATAAAATAAGGCAAAAATAATTATTTGGCATGAAAATCATATTTGAAAATATCACAGATTCATTTAAATTACTTGAACCATTACAAAATAATTTGCTATAGCAGAAGGTAAGCTACTTACCAAAAGCTATTGTGAATAAATCTGATCTCTGATGCCTTTTTGCTACCAAGTACTTGCAATAAAAATTAGTGTATTTTAGTACCTTCCTTATTACTTTGAAATAGAAATTTACTGTCTAAAAGCAAAAAAAAAAAAAGAAGTATTCTTATAGCTTAATTACTTCATAAGCAAGCCAGTTGTTCCTAGAAAGTAGCAATTAGAGCATTCCAACTGAAATTTTAAAACTGAAGTGCAGTCTTCACATCAGGACTTGTTCCCACATTCTTTCCACTAGTTCCAGCTGGAATCACAGTAATTCTAGTAGCGGAAGTACTATTTGATGTCTATTAAAATTCAACCACAAACATCACGGGTTACGTTTTTATTTTTCTAAACAGTCCAGGTCCCAAGAGGCAACAGAGTTACACTAACAGCCCCAGGTATTCCTACATGTCTCTATAATCTATAAACATGTACAATATTGGCTACAATATCTACAATGCTAAGATGAACAGAAATATCCACAAAAATGGAGAATATGTAAAAATACAGTCATTCTGGTGATTCATAGAGAACAAACTTACAATGACTAGGGGAAAAAAAAAAAAGAGCTGTAGTACTTCCGCGACATCTGTTTTTGCAATCTGTCATACATGTGAAAGTCACGTGTAGAGAGCCTCAAACATGTCATTGTCTACAAGCCAAAAAGAAAAATGCTGATCTACAAATGGGGAAGATAACCGAAGCATTATTGTATATACATTTAATCACTGTGGATACATAATTAACTGTTCATTTAGTACTGGTCCATAACTGCTGCTGTTTCAAAGTATCTACATTTTAAATAATGTCACTTTGACTAGTGAAGAGTGCTGTGACACCCACTAGAGGGCATAATAATTCAATTAAAGCGAGACAGCCTTACTGCCTGCCACAGAAAACAAGCTGCAGGCTAGCCAGAAAAGAAGAAAACAAACAAGCAAACGACAAAAAAAACCCACACTAAAACACTGGTAATATCGAGCATTTCCGCAAACGTCTGTCTCCTGCCACTTTCAAATATATTTTCACACAAACAACTGGAAAAGCATTATTCGAAAACATCACATATTCACAAGTATTTTAAAATGTACCCAGCGTGGCCTAATACCAGAACACAGTATAATAAAAATGCATTTTGAAAGTGCTTTGTAAAGCAATAAGCCTGTGTACCTAGTTCATCAGCTGCGCTACCCTGCAAGTCAATGACTGACACACAGCAGTGCTTAAGGCTCCTCATGACAGTCACTTGACTGGCAGGTAGAATTCAGTAACATTGGTAATTAACCCAAGAAACTTTACGAAATATTACAAACACGGACACAGACCTTTGGATTACTACAGTACGGTGGAAGTATGCATATGTGTGTGTGTACAGACACATACACACGCATACGTATGTATCTATATAAAAACATACACGCCAGGACTGGAAAAAAGCTTCAGTTGGTTCAAAGCATGACAGCTCACCTGTTAAGCAAACTCCAGCTAAAAACAGCTTTCCATTTGTCAACAAGTACTTTCACCATTGCAAGACTAGGGGGCAATTTTTAGAGATCTACATGGACTAAGCTCAGCATAACACTGTCAGTAAGAACTAAGATGAAGACAAAGCACAGACAGAGCAGGGATTACTTTATGTTTTTATCACCTCTAGCAGTAGTCAGTAAACATGCTCCTCAGTAACTACAGCAGCAATTTCTAGTAGTTTGGGCTATACTAGCTCCTTCTCCCTGAAATATCAGCAGCTATTACCTTCTTTTAGTTTTTGTTTTTTTTCACATAATCAAAAATAACAAAACCAAAGTGTGGCTAAAAAAACATACCCATAATAAATGCCCAGATTTTCTTTTTTTTTTTTCTTTAAGTGCTCACATATCAGAGAAGAGTTCCCTGGATGAAATGCTAATTATAGCTGTAGCTTTTCACATAAAGGAGGCTGGGTACTGAAAATAAAGTGGGTGGCAGCCGGGGGCAGGGAATCAGCTGGTCCCTCAGACGCAGAAGGAACCGAGGGGGCGAAGCGCCGGCATCTCTTACCCACTTATCCAGAGGGACCTGCGTCAAGGAGCCGGTGCCCTGGTAGAGATCCAGGCTGAGCTGCTCCAGGCTGAGCTTCTCCTGCAGAAAGTGGCCCAGGTACCTCTGCAGCAGGTACCTGCAGGCCCTCTTCTTGATGGACTCCGAGAAAGGCCACGGCATGGCGGCTGCGCGCCGGGGGCCAGACGGCGGGACGGGGTCGGGGTCGGGGCTG